CAAATACCCGCGAGAACCTCAGAAAACAAATATTGCACCTCTATGGGGAGGAAACCCACCATCTGACCAGGACTTATGAAAAACTTGAAGTCCGAAGAGCCTCCATTTTATGTGACCTTGCATTCCTATGCAACTGCCGAGATCAAAATTTAATTCCCACAAGCTTCCAATTGAAATTCCACACCAACACAGCAGCCACCAAACGCATCCTAAAAAGAACAGAACTGGCCCTAATTAGAAATGAACTTCACACAAAAAGGTTTCTCCTAGACCAAATCAACAAAGATCTCCTCACACTCCACCTCAGACTCAGCAACAAGATTCACCCCCTACTTTGGGACAAATCCAAACAACTCGCTGTCTGGAGAGCCGAAACACAGACCACCCTCAAGACAGACACACAAACCAACAAACTCAGGAAACTACAACAACGCCAGAAACCAACTCCTCCCCCCCCCCCACAGCCACACATGAAACAAACAGTGCACAACATCTCAGACAAGATCCTCACTGAAGCTGAAACCAAGGTCCTTTCAAAAGGATTCAACTTTGCTGTCGCTCCCAAATACATCCCCACAGAAACCATCATATGCGGAGTTGAAACCAGCCTGACCAAAACCAACCCTGACGATGCTAACAAAATCAGACTCGAAATTACCAACATCCTCTGCACTAGCAAACCACCCAAAAGCAACTTATTCAAAGAAGAACAAACTGCACTACTTAACCTGAAAGAAGACACCAGCATAATAATCCTACCAGCAGACAAGGGCAACGCGACAGTGGTTATGAACACATCTGACTACCAAACCAAGTTAACCAACCTACTCCAAGACCCCACATACAAACCCCTAAAGACAGACCCCACCACCTACCTAGAAAAAACTACCAAATCCAAAATAAAAGCCTCCCCCATCAGTGAAGAAATCCAGCAAAGAATCATACCCAGAGAGAAATCATCCAGATGCCCCAAGCTTTATGGTCTCCCCAAGATACACAAAGAAGGAACCCCACTCAGACCAATAGTCAGCTCCATAGGCTCACCTCTACAAAACCTGGCCAAATTTCTCGCCAAACAACTACAACCCTATGCAGAATCCATCAACTCACACATAAGAAACTCATTCCAGTTCATCGAGATCATAAAGAAACAAAACTTACAACCTAGCGACCTACTAGTAAGCTTCGATGTCATATCCCTCTTCACCCAAGTGCCAATAAAAGAAGCCTTGACAGCCATCCAAAACAAATACAACCCCCCGAAGCACATCCTAGATCTGACCAACCACTGCCTATCCAATACATACTTCACCTACAATGGACAAAAATACAAACAAATAGAAGGAGCACCCATGGGATCACCCCTCTAACCTGTCATCACAAACCTCTACATGGAACACTTTGAAACACAAGCTCTAGAAAAATACGACCACAAACCCAAACTCTGGCTCAGATACGTAGATGACACCTTCATAATCTGGCCACACGGGAAAGAAAAACTGAACAACTTCCTCACACACCTCAACAGCCTACACCCCAAAATACAATTCACCATGGAAACAGAAGCCAACAATCAACTTCCCTTCCTAGATGTCTTGGTATACAAAAGATCCAATGGCTCCCTAGGACACACCATCTACCAGAAGAAAACACATACAAACCGCTATCTACATGCACTCTCACACCACCACCCAGCACAGATCAATTCCGTAGCCAAGACACTCATCTCCAGAACAAAATGCTTAGCCGATGAACAACATCAAAAAACCGAACTACACACTCTCACCAACGTACTTACAGCCAATGGATTCCAAAGAAAGAAGATTACCCACCTAATCCAAAAAGAAACCCCAACCAAAATCCAAGACAGAGAACAAGAAAACGGCAAAGCCCTCCTCCCATATATAAAAGGCACTACAGACAAAATCAGCAAGATCCTCCAAAAACACAACATCAAAACAGCATTCTGCACAAACAGAAAAATATCCACCATCCTAAGAAACCCCAAAGACAAAATCGAATTAGAAAACCAAGGAGTATACGAAATCCCCTGCACTGCCTGCCCTACCACATACATTGGACAAACTAACAGAAGAATAAGTGCACGCATTGAAGAACATAAGAACTCAATCAAAAAAGAAGAAATGACCTCTTCCCTGGTCCAACACCTCAAAGCCACAGGACATGAAATTGATTTTAAAAATACCAGAACTATCGCCAAAACCGAACACTTCAACAGCAGAATAATCAGAGAAGCCATAGAGATAGAAAAACGCCCACACAGCATGAACAAACGAGATGATACCTCCCGCCTTCCAGCCATTTGGAAACCCGCCCTCATGAACAGACAAGTACCTAACACGAAGAAGGACACCAGACCCACACCCATGAGAGCCACACAAGATGCCACCACCACACTTCCATGTAGAAAACAGACTCACACCCACTCAGAAGATGAGACACGACCATGGACCAGAAGCTGCACTTCAAACCCCTCTGAGCCATACATGAAGCAAACCGACACCCACTATGAAGATGCAGCACGACCACGAACTCAAAGCCAAACAGCAAGATCACAGCTCACCAACTCAAATCCCCCAGCAACTAAGACTAACCTGAGCACAACCAAGCCCCCACCTGAACAGAACACGCCTCCAACCAATCAGAACACGGCAAACCCCCCAACCAATCAGAACACAGCCAAACCCCCTACCAATGAGAACACACCCCCACCCAATCAGAACACAGCCAAGCCCCCACCCAATCAAGTCCCACCCCCCACTAGCAGTTAAAAGGAAGAAGCAGCTGCAATCTCACATCACTCTGAGAAGCAAGAGCCGAAGACAGAAGCCTGAAGATGATGAATGAGACTTCATCGAAACGTTGCCTAGATACTTCGAATCTTACGCGGGAGAAAACCCGAACAACCAAAGATCCATATATACCATATATATATATACCATATACATATATATAAATGGACAATGTAATTGATTATTTAAATGATATTAGAAAAACAAAGAATATGGTAAACTAGAAATAATTATGCTATAAAATATTTGTAATGAGATTGCAATGTTATGACCAAAACACGAGGAATGAAAATTAAATATAATTTCATAGGTTAAATTTGGTTAAATGGAAACAAAAAGGAAACTCAATTTTCTCTCCCCCCCCTTTTTATTGTATACATGTTAGACATGAAATAGAAAATGTACTTGATTATATAAAGGATATTAGAAAACAGAGAATATGGTAAACCAGAAAGGATTATATTGTAAAGTATTTGTAATGAGATTATTATATCATGATTAAAAAGGAGGGGAATGAAAATTTAATAAAATTTCATAGGCAAAATTTGGTTAAATGGAAACGAAGAGGAAATATGAAATAGTTATATGAATATCTCTGGAATAAATATAAGATTTACTGTAGATTGGGGAAAATACCATGTGGATCCTGAATATATTAGTTCTATTTTATTTTTATTTTTTTGTTTGTTTATTATACATTAGCTTTGAGAAAGTTAATGAAGATAATAATATAAAATAAAATAGGTGGTAAGCTGGAAATGAAAATAATGGGGAATAAAGAGTGGAAAATATATGTGAGGATGAAATGCTTTTGACATTGGATTAATGAATTGAAAATATGAAGTGAGAACTTATTCAAAGATCAGTGGAATAGATAATGATTTGATATGAAATTAGATAAGAAAGTTGGAAATGTAACTATGACTATGTATGAATGTTGTAATCTGGAATCACATTGCTCACTTGAAAAGATGTGTAAAAAATAAAAAACTTTTATTAAAAAAAGTTGGATTCATGCATTTTGTTAAACCAAAGATGGCTCAGTAAGAAATCAGAATCCTACACCACCAAGCTGAAGGCGTACCTACCAGTGAAGATGGGAAAGAAAAAGAATTAAAAACATCAAGGAAGCACTCAGAACACGTGGCTATCCTAAGTGGGCCTTCATCAAATCTCAAAAAAGGAGTTTCAGGAACTCCTCCATAAGACGACGAAGCGAACAATAAATGAAGCAATGTTGTCATTCCATATGTTACAGGAATATCAGAAAAGCTCAGGAGGCTCTTCAGCCACCACAACATATGTGCTTCAGACCCAAGAATATATTAATGCAGAAGGGCTTCTCCACTCCAAGGATAAAACACCCAGGCACAAACTGAGCAATGTGGTACATGGAGTTGTCATGGAGTACATGAGCCATGTGCAGATCTATAGATTGGGGAAACAAAACAACCACTTCATAAACACATCACACAACATAGGAGAACCAATTCATCAGGACTAGATTCAGCAGTCCAAACAAATGCCACTCTTTTGAAGACAGCAAAGTCCACATTTTGGACAGGGAGGATCGCTGGTTTGAAAGAGGTATCAAAGAAGCCATCTATTCAAAATTGAACAACTCTCTCTCTACAGAGGACGGAGGGATAGGACATTATCTAGTTGCTTTTTGAAAATCCAGTCAAAGCTGAAGAAGCTTTTTGAATGAGTAGTGAAACATTTTCAAAGAAAAGAAAATCTAGTTGCTTTTTGAAAAAAAGCACCTTTGGGACATTTGCTTGATTCCTTGATTTAAGGTTTCTGGGAAATTAGCCGGTATGTTTTGTAAACTAGAGTTTAAAGCTTAATAATTAACTGTGGTTTATTCAAGTAAATCATGGTTTAATATATGTGAATACCACCATTAAATAATATTGCAATAACTATCTCTTACCCTTTATTTCACATTATCACAAATTATTCCTACTCTTGGCTATGTTTGGCCACATTTCTTATATGTAAGCAATTATCATGCTTGTTATATATATCTTAGATTCATGTTTGAAGTATAATTTCCTGAAATAGTTTAAGGAGGTTTTGATAATAGGAATTGTCACAATCTGAAAATGGAATTCTTTATAAAGACATCTGAACAAACAGCTTTGTAGCAAGAAATACACACAACAACTGCAAAACTGAGTTGTTTTTATTTTGGAACATGCAAATATAATCCATGCATCTGCCACTTGGAAAAAAACTTTTCATTTTAATAGCAGATAAACCCAAATATATTTTGGCTATCAACTTCCAGGAAATGTTTCAAAATGCTTTACAGTGTAAAGATAATAAGAAATTTAGCAAATTTTCAACAAACCAGTATAAAAAAACAGATACAGATAACTTTTCATTTCAAGATGACATGCTGTAAAGAGTAATAATTTTGTTTTTGTTTTTTTCCATAAAAAGTCTTCAACATACAGTAGCTTAATCTTTACTTGTAAGCCTTTAGGCTACACATGCAAAAATGAAAGGGAGTGGAAATTTAAGTAAAAATCACAAAAACGTGCTATTTTCATTTTAAGTACAATAGTTGTAAATAGTAGTTCATCTGGACTCTGTCAAGTATGTAGGAAAGTTCATGGAGCTAGTGTCCTGGAAGACTCATATTCTGACATACATTTTGGTTTAATTGCTTTCCCATTATAATAGTCGACCACTTGATTTGGAACTTCAGCCAAAACACTTTTTGCTAATGCAGCTGGGGATGCCTGCAAGAAATGGCAGAAAATAATGTATGTTACTTCAGGTCTAATTGTTCCAATGTTTCTTTATAACTAACAGTGCTGAGTACATAACTCCCCTGTAGCACTTGTTTCTTATGTTTCTCAGCTTTCTTTTATAAATCAAATGGTGCATACTGCATAGGTGGAAAGGAGGATATTATTTTATCCATACAGCAATCCTGTGAAGTGAGATTTATTGATTGACTTCCCAGTTCAAGGGCAGTCTCTTAGTCACTATTTTGCACTAACTGATGAAAGATGTTTTACTTCAATCCAGTCATTACTTCTAAAAAAACCCCAGCACCTTATGCTAAACTTACACTATATTAAAAACTATACTATAACATAGCATTTACCAGAAAAAAAGCAAACCTGCCCTCTTCCTCCAAATAATTAGATTGAAATACCTTGAGAAATATTAATAGAGGAAGATGTCATTGCAAGTGAGTAAATGCAAATTTGGGTGAAAATAATGAAGTGATTGAAACAGAGAAGAAAGGGGGGAAAACAGTAGTTTCATCTCCTATTACCACCCATTGTCCATTCTCACAATTTGTTGAAGTTGAGGATCTGTTCATGAAGTGCCACCATCCAAACAAGGAATTTTTTTAAAAAACAAACCAGGATCCTCAGGAAGAGTCTCTATAGCAGATATTCCCGTTATATATAACAGATTACAAAAAGAAAATAATTATTAACTGAATCCATCCTTAGAATGGTATGTCCAGTCCACCATTCTTTAAGCTCTTAGAATAGATAAATACTGATATTACATTATGTCGTGTCCCCAGTTATAAGGCTTTACATGACATCTATGTCTTCCCCCCTTGGAGGGGAAAGAACTTTCTCTATTTTTATATAGTGTACTCAACTCACCTCACAAGATTGTTCTTGTGGGGAAAATAGGAAAGGAAAGAATATTAGATATATTTGCTAACCTGAATTATTTATAAAAATAATAAAGGTGGACCAAAAATATTTTCTTAAAAATTGTTTAGGAAGAAGAGCCAGTGAACTTAACGGAATGTATTACAAAGCAAGCCTTTTTCTAGATGACTCCAGATTTCTAGTTTTTCCAAGGTAAATATATCTCAGAATTTGTAAATGTATGCTTATACAGACATACAGACATGGACATGCAGATACAGAGAGGGGGGTGGGGGGAAGGGAGAAAGAGAGAGATGATTCTGTATAGTTACATGAATGTAAAGATTGATTTATTCATTAAATCAAGATGCCATACATTTCATATCTAAGACAACTCACAATAAAAATATAAAAATTAAATTAAAAAGAGCTACAGAAAAGCTAAGACCGAAGATATAAATGACATGAGATTGCGGTCTTCTTATCCTGTTCAACATTTCCAGCAAGTAGCCCCCATTGGGACCCAGGCCAACCAACAAAACCATGTTTAATGCCCCTCCAGAAAGCCATGACAGTGGAAGCAGATCTGACTGCTGACAATAGAATTTTCTACAGGGTGGGGGCCACAGTGAAAAAGCCTCTTCTATTTTCCAACCAGCTGAAATTCCTTAATAGACATACACTGCAGTAAGACCCTTCCATTGGACCAAGTAGGGTGGGCTAATCCCATTGGGGCAAGATTATAAGATAGGCAATTTGCATTAATTTTTATGAATAACAGGTAAATTGATAAGATCAAGAAGCTGATCAGTGTGCAGGATATTTTGTACTTTTTTTCTGTTTAATCTTCTTTTAGAGGAGAAGAATTTGTTCAAAGGTGGTATTCGGCAGGTTCTGACCAGTTCTGGAGAACTGGTAGCAGAAATTTTGAGTAGTTCGGACAACGGCAAATCCCACTTCTGACTGCCCCCCCCCCCATTTTCTGCCTCCCGAGTCCCAGCTGATCGGCTGGGTCTTCTTTGGTTGCCCTGCACATGAGAACGGAGTGGAAAGCAGGTTAGTGGGGTGGGGAGGAAATGGGGATTTTGCAGTAACCTTCCCCTGGAGTGTGGAGGGAATGGAGATTTTACAGTATCCTTCCCTTGCCATGCCCACCAAGCCACGCCCACCAAGCCACGCCCACAGAACCGGTAGTAAAAAAAATTGAATCCCACCACTGAATTGGTTCCTGAACTGATATCAAGATAGTATTCTTTTTGTAGTAGGTTTAATAATATCAAAATAGATTACATTTTTAAAAGTCTGAATGATGATTTTTGTTTTGTGTTCATGTTATATTGTTATTTCGACTAGCATATATTTCATCTTGTTGTGACAATAGTAGTGTTCTCCAGTGCCAGGTTGTAATTCTGTAATACCCAAACCAAAACTTTTGAGCGTTACATTTCCCTCTTCCTCATATTAATCATCATTCTGTAATATTTTCACTGTTTTATGTTTCTATATGCTAATATTGACTTTTTGAGAAAATTACAAATTTACTTTATCAAACAAGTATTATTATGTAAATACACATAATCTACATTTAACTGATTTATTGGTCAGTTGTTTTCTGGTGGGCTAGGATACATATTCAAAGTGACAAGTATTTACCATAAATTTTACTAAAATCACCCTTGAATTTCTATCTGAATTATGTGTGAATATTATTGTGACAGATATAATATTTATGGGTGGAACCCCTGAACTAAGAAATAATGCCTTATCAAAAAAATATGGTTGAAATAAATCTTACATGTTTGAAGTTTCTGAATGGCACAAATTGAACAATGTCTCGTAGAACTGGTTCTCCCTTGGGAGACCGCAGGATGCCATCGTCCCCATCAAGCATCTGCATGTCACTGAAATCAGCATTTCCGACTCCAACAATGATGACCGACATGGGGAGGTGAGAGGCATGTACAATGGCTTCACGCGTGTCAGCCATGTCTGTGATGACCCCATCCGTCAGAATCAACAAAATAAAATATTGCTAGAGGGTAGAAAGGGAACATCAGCATTTGAACATATTTCTGACAATTGTTGATAAAAACAGTGCTGCTGAGATTTCCTGGCAATTGCATACTGTAACTAATTTTATTACATTTTTCACTGATGATGACTGGAGATGGAAAGTTAAATAAATATAATCAGATCAAACAAAATATAATAAAGGAGGTATGAAGGCTACAATAAGATAATATGCTTCCTTGGGAAGAGGGCTCATATAATATGGTAAACTCCTTTGTGATTTAGCTGGCTTTGGTTCATGTTGTTTGAATCAGCAGCTATTCGCTAATTCATAGTATATAGTACGCATGTTGTGTGAACCTACCATAATTCAATCATAGGTATTTTGCTGAGTAAGTATCAGGAAAGTATCTGATAAAAAATAGAATGTATCCAAAGAAAAAAAATCCAAAGATTTCTGAAAGTAATTAATTTAATGGCACCATTAATTTTAATTAATTTGGATGGCAATTATAAGAATTTGATAGTACCAAGGAACTACTTTCTCAACTTTTATATGAATTGCTGGCTGCCCGATTCTCTTGCTGACAAAAAACAACATATATATCTTTATATTATAAAAGTTAAAAAAATTATGAGCCATATAAAAAGTGACAATAATTACCTTTAATTATTACCTTAAAAGAAATGGCACAATTTTTTTCATAACTTAACTTACAATGAAAATATATGGAATTGTACAATTGCACAAGAATTGTAGCTGGACTGGCACCAACTACCGTGTGTATAAATTAGAAACAATATAATATAGTATAATAAGACAGTCTGTTTTTAAATTACACACAAAATAATATCATGAGTACCTCTTTTATAATAGAAAGCTAGGACATAATTAGGGGCTAACATGATGCACAACAACTATGCATTCAATTGTAGTTAAACATAGCTAACTTAACTATAATTTGTATTCATGAAGGGGTAAGCAGATATTTTATAATTAGTATCAAATCTAATTAACAATACCTTATAATAGCAAGAGCAATTAGATTTATATACCATTTCACAGTGCTTTACAGCTGTAAGTGGTGTACATTGCCCCCAAATCTGGGTCATTTTACCAACCTTGGAATGTATAAAAGGATGGAAGGATGGAAGGCTGAGTCAACTTTGAGCCTAGTGAGATTCTAACTGCCAAACTCTGCAATCAGCAGAATTAGCCCACAACACTGCATTCTAACCATTGTGCCACCGTGGCTCTTAAAAACTTAACTTAGTTTTTTTATACACTTTTGGAAATGGATACTCTTATGACCATTTCCACAATGAAAGCCATCACGAATAAAAAACATTGAATGGGTCCAGTTGAAAGAGTGAGGGAAATTATCTGCTTTTATGTTTGTACTGTCCAGATGCTGAAGCATCAAAAATGGCTTAAAGTATGTTAATGTGGATCTAAACTAATATTTTCTGCTCTCAGAAGGAATGGTTTCATAAAGTAGTTTGTTGTCTTCCATGATCCTTACCGATGCCTCCTTGGTGTTTGTTTCTTCTGATGCTGATTTAGCCACCTTTTGGATGATGGGAGCAATGTTGGTTGGTCCATAAAGCTGAAGTTTTGGGAGGCAATTCTGATATGCTTCCACAACCCCTTGAATCCCTTGTATAAAATGACAAGATGGAAGAAGAAAATTGGGATGAAGGCAAGGACTGAGCAAATTCCTTGGGAAGGAGGACATGACTCCAAGTTTTCTTCCTAGTAAAGTTGTTTTAAACAATTAATGTAATCTTATTCATTAAAGTGATCAGCTAGACAGCCTATTTAATCTTCCCAGCCATGATTCTGAAATAGTTGAAAGAAAGTGACTCTCCCCACTGATCTGACCTCATTTATATGACATGTAATATATAATTCATGAACTAGCTCTTTTCCTTGCTGTCAGCATTCAACTGTACATTTTATAGATATTAACCATTACAAATATTAGAAGCTTTTGCAAATATGATTATTTTACATGCCATAGAAGCCTTTGCTAATAATGCGAGCAAAAGAAAAATCTTATAATATTTGAAGTTTATAGAGATTAATTATTAAATGGAAATTACCTGATACATTTTGTTTTCTCTGTCCTTAGTACTTTTGGACTAAGCCATTATATGGCTTGCTAAAGACCTGCATTTTATCAAGAAATTTGAAAACAAAATCTTGGAATAAGAACTAGATCTTGAATAAGAAAGACTTGTCATGGATCATTGCTATTGCTGCATTCTTCTCAAAGAGAGCTATATATAAAAATCTTCTTCTTTTAGAAACACAATCTAGCATAGCAATCAAATATAAACTAAATAATTAAACTGAAGATCTACAACAAATTAAAACAGGAGTTTAGCAACAAACTTATTCTAAGGTCAATTATTAATTTACAAATTATTGAATTTCTATTCTCATTTAATAGTTCTATGTAATGTTTTCTGGCTTCTTTGAATGGTTCACATTTAAGAATATGAAAACAACACCTATAAAGGAATTTGTCTTAATACTGAGTTCAATTATTGAAGGTCCAATCACCTACAGTTCTGCAGGGAGATATCATTCCCAGCTATACCTGAAGCGCTGGACATTGATCCTGGGAAATTCTGTGTGAAGTGCATTACATTTAACACTTCTCATATCACCCTTTCACTGAGTATGAGCTCTAAGAAGCAAGTTCTGTACAGATACATAGACTGAAATAAACCGTTTGGGCTTAACAATTGATGTAAAATACAGTAAACAGCAGAGCTGCATTAATTTGCTTGCTGAGAAAAAAAGCTGGTTACCTGCACATTCTGGATTATCTTCATTAAAGTTGATTGCAAAATCATGAGATACCTGCGAATAAAGCCAACCCCACCCACCCCCACCCAAGAATTAGATTCATTTTTGCTCTAAAAATAATTCTTGTTTCTCATTGGCAAGTGGAGAATTCAAATTAATTTTCTTTTAGAGATCAATACCAAATGCTTTCCAAATAATTATTTATTAAGTGGCTTCAAAGTTGCAGATTTTGTGTGGTGCATTAAGGAAGAGCATTTACACAAGTCAAGAATATTTTCTAAAGTAGAAGAAACAAGAGTGGAAAACGTTCAGTGAATTCATATCAAAATATGAACTTACCTAATTTTGTATTTACCAACCGTTATATGATTCAAAATTTAATTACATTCAAATTTGCAGTTCTTCAAGTTCTGCACTACAGTTTCTAATAATAGTAATATTAAAGTCTGTAAATTATAGAAAAGTATTTATGTACATATTGCAAAAAAAACTACATATACCCATGAAAATAATGCACAAGCATTTTATTGGGGAAACTATTTGAAGAATGTTTATAATACCAAAGAAACTATTTTGCTACAAACTTGAATTAATGTTTATAAAACCATCCTTACAGCCAAATTTTCAGTAACTGCAAACAATAATCTCCAAAATTAATCTCTTTAGATTGAATTGACCCATCCATTAATTTCAACATAGGAGAAGTTGCTCTTGATTTAGTGAAGTGAAGGAGAACCATGGTCAGTACCAATTGTACTGTTCGATGATGCTTCCTATTTCATGTAATAGTGTCTTTCTGAAATCAATTGAAAATTGGTTGAAACAGAATTTTTCTGAAGAGCATAATTAGGTAGGCCATTTTTATTCCTTGCTGTTTTAAGTGATTTTAAACTTTTTTTACATATGATATGTTTGTTTTTTATTATACTAATCACAGGAAATCATTGGTGGTTATGTAATAATGAATGAATAAATAATTTCTTTCCTGTTGTTTTAATTTAGGCTAGGTCAAACCATAAGGTACATTAACAGGCCAATAAATATTAATACCCTAGAAAGTAGAATGGTCTAAACAGTCATTAAAGAAATGCACCTTTCTTATCTAATGTTATATAGGTTAGTAGTGCGAGGACCCTTGAGGGCCACAATGTCATCACAGGGGTTCCACAAAAACTCAAAGAATTTAAATCTTAAGTCTTGGGGACTGTGACCATGGTCCATAAACATTACATATATTAAAAGTGGTCTATGGTAAAGAAAAGGTTGAGAACCACTGGTACAGGTAATTTAAATACTTTAATACAGAGGTATATAATGTGATGGATTAGTTTATATTATCATATAGCTAAGACATGTTCTCTGGTGTTGATAAAGGGAGTCATGAAGCCTTTAAGACAACAGGTAGAAAAGCACGTTAATCCCAGCGATGAAAAGGTATTAGAAAAAGATTGATTTTCCTATATTGCCTGAGGAATAAAAGAGAAGGAAGATATAGAAAGTTCTATTACTATAGCTTATCTCAATAAAATACAGTTGTAGTCTTCCTATGGAGTCATTTCTCTCGTCTGGCCTATTTTGTAGGGCTAACTGTTTATGAGATCACTAATCTGTCTTTATTTCATTTACAAGATTCTTTTCAATTAAAAGTTAATGGAAGATGACATATTGCAAAGCAACATCTTTCTGCAATCTGACTTCTGGGCTGATATAATAAAATAAAATAATAATGATCAGTATTCACTAATTTATTTGAAGCATGTGGGATATCAAACAGAACTTCGAGAGTTCTGAATGGGTGGTTGGAACAATACATATGTTATCCTCCTCCCAAACATATTCAGTTATTCACAGTTATATATTTTTTTCAGCCATTTATATCCACTTGCCCCAAAGATTGTCTGTATGGGGTCCTGTTAATTTTGCTTAATATGGCCTCCATCTTCCTTTTCATCCCTGCTCATTCCGTAGTTACAAAATATGGTCATATTTGTTCAGAGATCTTAACAAAACAAAATTCTTCTCAAAAGTTATTTTAATTCCAGCCTTCAAAAGCTCTGATAACCATCCAAAATATCAACTGCTAAAAATAAAACTGGTCACAACAGGAAGAGAAATTGAGTGGTATGAGAAACTTTCTCATGTGGAAAGTTTTAAAGTCCTTAAAGTTATCTTCATTGGTTTGAAATTCAGAATTATGCATAACACGAAGCTATTTGAGTGGAGAGCCCCCAAGCTGTAAATGATGCAGATGAATCTAAAATTGCTTCTGCCTTGCCTCTTTATTCCCTCCTGCCATTCACATCATTGCTTCCCTCTCCAGTAACTTACACATTATGCTAGAGACATCAAGAAAATGAGGAAGCTTCACCTGTTCACCTACTTTATAGTCGGGAGGTATCCTGGCTCCAAAGCCATACACTGGGAACATTTTATCACTGAAATTAAGATAGACAATGATTGTTGATCTTTGTTATACTGATCTCATTTCATTTTTCCTCCTCCACCAAATTCATAAATAAATTACAAGGCAGAAAAAAGTTATGAAAGAGAAAGGACCCACTACATAGCAATTACATAGGTTTCACCTACCTCAGCTTGCAAATATAAATTTTCCTATATGAGATAGCTAGGTTCCTGCCTCTCCTTTGATAACTAGTAAGCCATTATGGCAATTAGGGTCTATTCTGTTAAATAAAAAAACAAACAAATAGTCCTTTGAACTGAACTTGACTTCTGCTGATTGCACCTGGATTTTCTAGAAGTTTTATGGAAATAATTGGCTATTGCCTTCTTGAGTTTTTCTTTACTTCCCACTGCATTTAGCAATCTTAGAATTCCCAGTCATTTCCAATACTAATAGAGGCTTTTCATGTCAATTGACTAGATGTCATTTAATAACGTACCCTTCAAGCTAAGTAATTTGTCTGAAGTATTTGAAAGCATAAATATTTGGCCTGCAAGCTTGCATTTGATGATATAATTCTGCTGAATTTGATTAATTTGCAGTTTATTTAAAAAAAAAAATTCACTTCCAAGTATGTATTAAATTGAAACCATAATATTTTTAATAAAATAAGTTTGTACAACTGCTTCTCTTCACCATTTAATAGCATCAAAAGATTTTGTATGTGTATACATGCTATTCTATTCTATTATATATTGACAGTAAGTCTTGGGAATCTGTGCTAGCATCTTGTAATTAGCCTTTATATCTATAATGATATCCATATCTGTATCCATATTTACCTCTATCTGTATCAAAAAGTGAACTAACCATTAATTTTCTGCTAATTATCCTACTGTTACCACTTCTTGAATAAATGCTGATTTTTAAAAGTTGTCAGTGCTATAAGAAGCTCTTAATACCTGGCTTTCCCCCAGGAATGAGATGGGGTATTGTGCTCATTCTGTTTATTTTGGTTGTCTTATATGCAGTAATGTTTTAGGATTTTTGTTTGCTTGTTTTTATTTTTTTGAAGCTATTGTCATATTAGTTTTTATCTAGCGTGCTGCTCTGAATTGCATGTGATTAGGCAGCTATATAAATTGAGTGATAGATTAAATATACATATGTCAAGTATAAAGATTGATTTCTCAATTTTACATAATTTCTATGTTCAAGAAGCCCTAAAAACCTAAAGTAAGATGACATAATTGCTGCAAGATAAGATTATTTTAAAATAAATATTGCTTTTTTAAAAAAGAAATTAAAATATAAGCACCTACTTTAATCACTGTTGATTAAATTGTTAGTTTTATCTTAAAAAAATAAAACGAATTGCTGCTCGGGAAGCTGAAGTTGCTGACTAGCAGGAAATGTGTGCTTACAATTGAGCATTAACTATGTGAAAATAGAAAACACAAATGTGCTATCTACAAAAGGAGTAATTAATGAACATGAGGAGCCCTAACAGAAATGTTTAAAAGGTGTTTCCTAATGAATTAACCAACAAATACTATACCCACAAATTTATCTGGTTAGCAATAACAGTAGCACTGCTGACAAAGGAATGCCTACCTCCCCTACTTATTAAATGAGTCTCAAATGTTCAGCCTAACCACAAAATACATTATCAACACATTTTTATCCATGAATATACTGTAAAGCAAGGAATAATTGTGGGATTCAAAATAAGAAACAGTGTAGCTGCAGCCCCATAAAATGGTAAACTGGGATTCAATATCTGCATTTACTTGTTATTTATGAACACAGACGACCTGAATGTCCTTAACTATATTGATTGCCCATGTTTTGTGATAGATTATAAAATCTCTCTCTCTATATATATAAAATCTCTCTCTCTCTCTCTCTCTATATATATATGGTATTCAGCTTTGTTCAGGTATTTTCCCACGTCATTATAGTTGTGCTTTTAAAGTTGTAGCAACATTTCGGCAGAACCTTATCTGCCATCATCAGGCTTCTGTATAGTGTTTGTCTGTGAACACTATACAGACGAACACAGATGAACACTATACAGAAGCCTGATGATGGCAGATGAGATTCTGCCGAAACGTTGCTACAACTTTAAAAGCACAACTATAATGACGTGGGAAAATACCTGAACAAAGCTGAATACCATACATATAAATACCCGCAAAAACTTAAGAAAATAAATATATGTGTGTGTGTGTGTGTGTGTGTGTATACACACACACACACACACACACACATACATGTCAGCATATAAAATGCTTATTAATATCCAGAAACTTCACAGTAGATAAGAAAATTGGTAAACATGTGTTAGAAGGCCAATAGTCTATTAATACAAGTTGGTTGTTTGCATTTTGGTCCTCCTAATCGCCAGGATAATAAATATCAAACCCCAACAATCACCATGTGCAAAAATCCATCTAAAACCAAGTAAGGCCTTCACTTTACTAGAAAGCATTCAGTCTCCCAAAGTAGAAGCTGAAATTGAATAGCAGTCAGGGCTCTCTTTTAAGATATCACAGGTGTTGTTCCTTTAAGGCTGCCACTTGCTCCAAAGCATCTATTGACAAATGAATCTGCAGTGCTGCATAGCCTTAATAAATATTAATTAAAATCCTAGTTCTGTTATATTATGATAGAAGAGCACAGAATGGTCTAAAGCAGGGATTCAACACAGGTATAATAAATGGTAAAGCTATGCAGCCTTTCAGATTTAAGGACAAAAGGTACTTTGCAACATTCTTGGTATAAATATGTCCTCTATCTGCAATTCTTTCAGGAACCTGTACTTTCCCTCAGACTGGAAAACATACATGCTGATGTATACCTATACAATTATTTTATCATAACTTGGGATATTTGAAAAGAAGGAAAAAGTATATTTTTAAATATTAACAGAGCAACTTCAACAGGTTTCCAAGTGGAAATTCATCCATGTACATCAGTCACATTATTACATCAGTGTTTATGACTGATATAATTTGCATTACCTACAGACTTCATGACCGTAACTTATTAATTGTAGCTTATTCATGTTACTGAATATTTTTCTCAACTCTAGCTCAGACCACCTAGATTTTAGATCACTTACTCTATACATTAAAGGTAATATGTTTTTTTAGCTCTTGAAAGTTACCAATGTGCTCAGTCACAATAAAATTATGACAAATCATGTTGCAATCCATTTTGAAAGCAAATGTAGAAAAATTAGAGGCTAGCAATAGTTTCTTGGTTCATATAAATAATCTATGAGCCATGGATTTGTTATCTTTGCCATAAATTATGTAATTTGGAATGAAAGGCAAGATAGACAGTACCTAGGATTAGGTCAAATTGTAAATTAAAATCACAAGTTTCAAAAAAAGGGAAACATAATGATTCCCAGGAATATACATTGTCATGAGAAAATTGAAAATTTCAGGTACCCTTCTGTGCTCATCCTGACTCATTCTAGTAATCTTACACTTTGTTGAATGGATTCTAAATTGGAGAATTTATCTATTGATTAAATAGGCAGTTCCAAAAACTATATTAAGATGTATCATTTTGTGGACAAAGCGTTGAGTGTTGGCCCTTGATTATAATAAATTCTTATCAATGTCTTTGCCTGCCACATATGTAATTGTTCCCACTCTGGAGATTTTATTTTAATTTTTAGAAGTTTCATTTATGCTGCTCCAGCAGTATTGTATTTAATTCAAGTCCTTCACATCTTTGAAAGGCAGCATCATTATGATGCAAATAGCAATGCCTTGAAGTAGCTAATTACATGGAAGACACCAGAAAATGCCTCAAGGGTAAACCAGAAGCAATAACAGTTGTCAGCATTGACAATCTGGTATTTCTATCTGTTATGCACATTCATGCTACTTCATGACAGACATTATAATATATTTCAAGTGAACAGAAGAAATGTTACTACTTTACAGAGAAGACAGTTAAATCAAATCACAGTGTTAAACATAACACAGATTTACCCAATAAATAACATGCAATTTTACTTCATCACTATATAGCACTTGCAAATCAAGTGTTTAATAAAAAGTCTTGGAACAGCCAATACTAAAGGCTTAGAATTTTTTTAATCCTTAGTTTGACTTACTTATCAATAATTATTTGAGTCATAATTCAAAATAAGGCTCAAATGAGTATTATACCAGATCAGACATATGTATGTACGTTTTATATTTTACTTTTCCTATAGTAATGGAAGCTGTGGGAGCTATTTGAAAATATGCATGTCCAAGTTTAAAGAAATAGTTGGTGTTCAGAATCTAAACTTCTAAACAATATTTATGAAGTTGTAGGGATTTCTAATGAAGATATCACTACTGGTAATATTTATCAAAACTGTATGTACTTTAGTGCAATTATACCATAATGCTTGTTGTTTTTAGCAATAGAATTAGTATTGCTATACAACTACCAATATCTAACTATCAGCTTTATAAGTTTACTTGACAGATATTTAGAAACTATTCTAAAATAACATGATAATTTTTAACCTGTCATAGTCCTGGCAGATTTCCCCAACAGCAACTAGTGCCTTCAAGTATTCATTTGGTTGATATGGATGTATATAGTGGAGAGAACAGCTGTTCCGAGGATCACCGTTGGAGGCTGTAAAATCTATAGCCACCTAGAAAATAAAACCAAAAAGAGTCTTAAACATCTTACTATGCTTGTATCTAAATAGGTAGTCCTCAATTTACAACAGTTCATTTAGTTCAGCTTGATGTTATAATGGAATTGAAAAAGTGACTTATGACCATTTTTCACACTTGTGACTGTTGCAGCATCCCTATGGTCATATAACCAAAATTCAGACAGTTGGCAACTAATATTTATGATAGCTGCAGTGTCCTGGAGTCATGTGACCACTTTTCATGACTTTCTGATTAACAAAGTCAAGGGAAGTCAGACTCACTTAATATCTGTGCTACTATCATAACAAACTGCAGTGATTCACTTAACAGCTGTGGCAAGAAAGGTCATAAAGTGAGGAAAATCACATAACAGCTGTTTTGCTTAACAACATGAATTTGGGGCAAAATTGTGGTTGTAGGTTTGAGAACTACCTGTACTTCATGGCATCATCTCCTATCACAATCAATGTCAAAATCTGGAAATTGAAAATGTGAAACAAGAGTTTATTGTGCAATACATCTATTTTCTGCTACATTCCCTCATCAACTATTGGTTATGAAACCAATTTCTTTATAATGTGCTGTATTTAGCAAAATTGAACATATTATAGACTATATTATTTCTTACATTATAGATTATTTCTTATATTATATATATGTATATTTTTATCCAGCCTTCCTAGTAAAATACCTAGGCAGCTTGCAGGAAAAAAAGAAACCCACCAACCAAACAAAAAATGATTCATAATATAACAACCGTTAAAACCAACACACATTTAAAGTAGCGATAGCTAAAAGCAAAGTAACTGAGACGATATAAAAAACAGAAATCATGTTCTTTTCATCCTCATTAAGTGCTTTTCAGTTAGACAGATCATAATATGTCTGTATTAAATTTAATGTTTCAGATTTTCTTTTCACCCTAGGTTATGCTGTAAAACTCTTTGGCCATGAAATAACATAATCAATATTGTGTAAAATCCCTAACAGAACAAATGTGAAAATGATCTTTATGCCACCATAGTTCCCAATGGAGGGGTAGAAATCCTAAATAAACAAACAAAGAAAGAAAGAAATTTTATGTGTTAGTTAGATTTATATTTCAGCTTTCCTCCAAAAGTTCAAAGGTATGCATATATCCATTTTACCTAACAACTGAGCTTGCAAAAAGTTATTTTTAATCCATCTCTTTGCTGCCATTTAATGGACATTTGGAGGTTTGCTGCCCACAGATGCCAGCTTTACTTTCCAGATGTTTTGTGAGAAAACAAACTTTTATAAGAAAGCGTTTGTGGTGGGGGATAGTTTTAGAGATTTGATGAATATTTATATAACATTACTATTTGTTATTATTAGGAGATGAACTTAGGTATATAAAAAACTACCCTCAAACACTGCCCTTTTGCATATACTGTTCTTAGATATTTTGATGGACCTGTAAGTACAGGATGCATTTGGACTCATGCTCAGATTAAGTTTATAGACACAGATCTATTAATATAAAAGTTCTTGTTTTCTCACATATCATTTTGACTTTAACAGCTGATAAAGGAGGGGGAATGTCTTTTCCTCCACTATGGTTGAACTGTTGAGAATTGAATATTCTTCCTCTAAATCTGATACTCAAAAGAGTTGTCCTCTGATTTTTTTTCCTTTAGATTTTTGCTAAAGACACTGTTCCATATCGACAGACTTGAAACCCTGCATTCCTATTGGTTCGACTAACCGCTACCTGATTGGTCAACCCGGACGATTGTGCTTGGCTCACTAAGAGTCTGCTGCGATTGGTTAATACCAAGCGCGGGAGACTCAAAGCAAAGTCATTGGCCGCTAAAGCCCCGGCGAGCTCTATAAAAGAGCCGCCGCGGCTGCTATTCTTTTGAGCTGAATTTTACCGATAAATAAAGAGCTGTTGTTACTGAACCGGAGTCTCTCGTCTTTATGAGCCCAACCCTTCGAACTTAACACTGGCGACGAGGGTGGGATAGAGAAGACAATGAGACTAACCAGCATGTGGCAAACGGCGCAGAGCAACCACCAAGATGGCCAGCAACGCCACGCCACCCGCACCTTTTAATCTGGCCACAGAGGACTGGGAGTCCTACATCGACCGGTTCCAAATGTTCTTGGAATGCAGCAACCTGAAAGACGCTAACGGCAACCGGAAACGGGCTGTATTCCTAACACACTGCGGACCCGCCATTTTTAAAATGGCCAAGGCTTTGGCAAAACCTGCGGATGTCAAGGCAATGGACTGGGACGACCTCGCACCCATCCTCCGAAACCACTACGCTCCAGCCATACCCACACTTATTTGCCAGCATGACTTTTACCGAAGAGACCAGCGCAAAGGTGAGAGCATCAGCGAATTCGTGGCTGATCTAAGGGACCTAGGAGGGTTGTGCGGATTTACAGACCTAGAAGAGGCCATGCGAGATCGGGTCATCCTCGGCCTAAAAGACCCCACACTACAAAACAAGCTGATGGCAAAAGGTAGCATCTCCCTCGCTGACGCCGTAGCTGAAGCAACTGCAGCAGAAGCTACCCGCAAATCAGCGGCTCGGATGCGATGATCAAATACAACCGACCGCCATCCTGTCAATGAGACGGCCTCGACACCGGAGAAACACACCACCTCCACCCACCATGGCAACATCGAATCCCCCTCTGACAGCGACTACGAGGAGGAAGAAATCCACTGGCTTCAATCAGAACGCGATCGACGAGACCGGCGGGGTCGTAAGTCGGAGTTCCAGTGCGCCGGATACAGAGGCGATCACCCCCGCTCTGAATGCCATTTCTTTGACGCCATTTGTCGGGATTGCAAGAAACGGGGGCACATCACAAAAGTTTGCCAAAATAAACGCAACCACAGTCCCTGGCGCTGAGGCAGCAGCCCTAGATGACGAGATGGCACCCCCCCAAAGCATCGGGATCGCCAGACTTACAGTCGATGGAGCTGAGACAGCCGGACCAAACGCTTCGAGGCGCCGCGGAAAGAAGAAACCCATCAAACGGTTGTCATCAGCCATTCTTCAACCATAGACGCCCGAAAAGTACGTGTGACGGTAAACATTGAAAACCAACCGTGCTCCATGGAGGTAGATTTGGGATCCTACCTCTCCATGGTCTCCTGGCATACCATCAAGCGCCTAATACCCAGCATACGCCGACACAAACTAAGCGACCAAAAGCTAATTCTCAGAGACTACCAGGGAAACCGCATCCCCGTTACCAGCTTCGGGCACTTCAAAATCACATTCAAAGACCGCACCAACATATTGCCGCTCACCATCGTGGACAATGACCGCCCCAGCTTGCTCGGGCTACAGTGGTTCAAGCTGCTAGGGATTGAAATGGCTGGCATCCACCACACAAACGAAGAGGATTGGGAAGCGGCACTTGCACGGGACTTCCAAGAGGTCTTCGACAACACCTTAGGCAAGTACAAGGGGTCCCCAATCTCCTTCAATCTTAACCCAGATGTCACCCCTATCCGCCTCAAACCGCAGCAAGTGCCATTTGCACTCAAGCCTAAAATAGACAAGCAACTAAATAAGCTCATTGCCCAAGGGGTATTGGAGCCTACTGACCACACCCGATGGGAAACTCCCATAGTCACCCCAATCAAACCAGATGGCTCCATAAGAATTTGTGGAGACTATAAGGCCACCCTCAACCATGCCCTGCAGCAAAGTGCCTATCCCATGCCAGTAGTCCAGCACCTCCTGCACTCACTGGGGGGGGGAGGCCGGGTCTTTGCAAAGCTCGACCTGGCACAAGCCTATCAGCAGCTGCCGGTCGATGCAGAAACTGCCGAGGCACAAACAATTGTGACACACCGGGGGGCATTTAAATGCAACTGCCTCCAATTCGGCGTCAGCGTAGCGCCTGGGATTTTCCAAAGCCTAATGGAAAGGATGCTGCAAGGCATTAAGGGAGTAGTGCCTTACTTTGATGATGTATTAGTGGCAGCAGCTAATAAAAAACAACTAGAAAAACGCCTGAGGGCAGTACTCCAAAAATTTAAAGACTCTGGCTTGAAAGTTAAAAAAGAAAAATGCCAACTTTGCACTGAGAGGGTCGAGTTTTTGGGGTACCTCCTAGACAAACACGGAATTCACCCCACCAAGAAAAAACTCAAAGCCATCAAGGAAGCTGCCAGACTGAAAAACAAAACGGAGCTTCAGGCGGTTTTAGGACTCATTAACTTTTATAATGTTTTCCTACCCCAAAAGGTGACCGTGGCGGAACCATTGCATAGACTATTGGACAAAACCACCTGCTGGACTTGGGGAAAATGGGAGGAAAATGCCTTTCAACAGAAAAAAAACCTCTTAACCTCCGACGCAGACCTCATCCAATATAGTGTGACACTACCGCTGACAGTTACATGCAACGCATCGCCTTTTGGAGTTGGGGCAATTCTCAGTCATACCTTACCAGATGGGAAAGAGGCACCCGTCGCCTTCTTTTCAAGAACCTTGTCCAAACTGGAAAGAAACTACAGCCAGCTGGACAAGGAAGCCCTAGCGATCATTTCTGGAGTGAAAAGGTTCCATGAATACATCTACGGTGGGACCTTTTCAATTATTACTGATCACAAACCTCTGCTGGGCATATTGGCAGGCAACAAGGCCACCCCAAACATCCTCTCACCTCACCTGACGAGGTGGTCTGAGTTCTTGGCCGCCTATAATTACCAGCTCATACACTGCCCCGGCAAGGACATTTTGCACGCCAATGCTTTGAGCTGCTCACCCCTTCTGGACGTACTCAACGACCCAGCACCCACCACTCAAGCACTCCAAATAGAAACCCTACCCAGCCCACTCCTCACCATGCCAGACATTGCCCGCCAGACAAAAAAAGACAGGCGGCTGGCGCGAGTCTTAAGTTGGGTAGAATGGGGTTGGCCGGAAAATGATAAAGATGAACGTTTTAAAGCCTTCAGGAGCCGGCAAACTGAACTCTTTGCTCAAAAAGGGTGCAT